CCAGTGCTGTCGAGTTAAGCAATGGAATACGCAAAAAGTGTTATGCAGGTGGTCAGATGAAGCTTTACGGAGTTTAGCACCGGAAGCTTAGAACGTGCGGCATATAGTCCAATTGATATGCAATGTTGATGAAGCCAGAGTAACGGCGCATCCGGTATTAGTTAATAATGTACAGTAACCTTACATCCAAAACGGCGTATGTTGTCGCAAATCACTTGCTGGTTACTAAGAAAGTGCATTGAAATCGCCAGTGCCAGGAAATCATTGTTACAGTTTCAACCGCTGCCGGCAAGCGGGTGTGCATACGATTTATAGGTGCACCGGACATTCTTCAGCACGCGCATGCTCGGCGTACGCCAATGGCTATCAGCAGTGATTCTTCGTAAACACGGACGCTCGCCCGCCCACCCCCCCCCCCCCCCCCCCTAATTAAGGAAATTTCTGCCAGGGCTCACCTGTCCATGATGCGTCCGTGATTATACACTGTTGTTTTTACTCCATTTTCAAGTTTAGTCCGTGTTCGGTGCATTACACCGCTGACACCTCCATTTCATCTGGCGTCCAAACATACGGGCCGCACAAATGTTTACGGTTATTGCTTGACGTCGCTGAATGACATTTAGTCACAACCGATTTCAAGTCGTGCTTGTAATGTACACCAGCAGTGATATTGCGACAAAATAGATACGCATATGGTACTTATTAACTACACAAGGGTGTCCAGTTACTCGTTGAGCATTCGTCAACATGCCTAATAGAATGGACACTAGTATGACCTTCTAGACGTAATTTATTGTATAATGCAGAACATGGTTAGCATACGCTTTAGGCTGTAGAAGTTTACATAGTACTTACACCTACGTCTGTGAGTTGTTTGAATACCAGTTCTCCATGCCCATGTTTGCGCTATACAGCATCAGAGCAGTTGCATTTATCTCGCATTCCAATTTCGCAGATGATAAACTATCTGCCAATTTCAAGCTGTTCTCAAACATGTTAAATCTTATTGCCTCGTATGTGCTTTCTAGGTTTATCGATTTGGGTCAGGGCCCATTGCTAAGCGGTTTCCTCACAAGATCGCTACTGCAGTATGCGCTCGGAGTTTGCCTCACGAATGAAGGAATCAATGCATTTGAATAGTGATGCGGAAATGACCTCTCAGCAGAAATCCGTATAATGACACTACCACTAGACATCTTTAATATGTTGAAATGCCTTCATAACGTTTTATGGTTAGGTGGTTCAGTAAGTAAGGCTCGATTGAGGAGAGATCTAAGTTTTGTTTAAGAAAATGTTGGATTATAATAAAGGCTGACGATGAGGTTGGTAATACAGAGTTGATGGATGATAAAGGTTGATGATAGAGGTCTTGACACATGGGTGAGGTTTGGTTTTCATAACGTAGGTGGTCTTGATAAGAAAGAAAAGTTGGATTTTATTGAAAATTAGGCTTTTTATGTAAACTCTTGCTTTTAAGGCTTAAGGAAGGTTATAGATTTTATACAGAAGATGGATGCTCAATTTAAAATGACTTCTTCTCACTCACTCATTTGTGTCCTTTTTTCTGGTGAGCTACAGTGTCATTGACACTTTCATTTTTATCTACAGCATCGACGAGCAGTCCGGCTCAGTGGATGCTGGCCAGCAAAAGCAGGTGGAGATGCAGTGCACTCCTCCGAAATGCGTGAAGCCTGACGTTGCCATGACGCCGCCGAAGTCTGTGCGGTTTGAGGGTCCGGCGCCGAAGCACGTGACGACGGAGGAGCTGTGTGTGCTCGAGGGCTGCCTGCAGCGGTGGCATGCCGAGGTCGAGAACGACGTCAGAGGTAAGGCAATCTGCACTTGATGCATGCGTCATAGACACCTTGACCTGTTCGCTTTGCACGATGAAGAGACGGCGTTTGCCAATCAGTGTAGGACATACGTGCCTAGTAATAAAAAATTGCTGGTGAGTCGACATTTTGGCGTGGGCACGTATAAAACCACTTACAAACTTGGTGAGCTTGACCAACCTAGCAAGCATAGTCAAGGATGGCGCAGTTATCGCACTCAGACGAATACTGTATATGCCATATTTTTCACGTACAGATATTTTCGCGAATTGACGGACAATTTCGACGGAAACTTGACGGACAATTTCGCGGTTGGTGAATTATGAATTATTCAGTATTATTCGGTATGAATTATTTACGTGTTATTTTCGCGGTCGGGGACGCGTTCGCGAAATTTGCGAAAAATAAACCACCGCGAAATATACAGCGTATACGGTAGGTAAATTGTGTGGCTTGCAGACTGTGAAGCCACAATCATGGTGTGAATCCCTTTCTCTCATCCCCCATGACAACTTGTTGTAGTTTGTATAATTTAACTGGTCGAGCTCATCGCCAATCGGAATTGGTATTATGTGTAATATATTCCAGTTACATTGTATATTGTGTTATATTAATTTCATAATTTCACTCATAAATAGTTTGTAGAGAAATTGTAGCAGCGTCGACCCGTGTTCTTGTTTTCGACGAAATGGTAGTCATTTGCAGGCTGTTTCTTTCCTAGTGCATTTAGTCTGGATTTTATATTTCAGAATTGCAAGACAGCATAGCTATGCTAAATGAGAAGATAGGCAGCATGTACTCTGATATGAAACAGGTGTGCTTAGAATGTGTGATCCATAGCCATATACCATGTTAATTACCATATTATTAGCCATGTAAATTTAAGAGGCGTTAAACTGAAAACAGTTACTTAATGTTAACCGAAGGTAATCTACTAGAACTATAATAATAATAATAATAATAATAAGCAACATTTGTGCTGTCGAGTTAAGCAATGGGAATACGAAAAAGTAGTTATTGCAGGTGGCAGATGAAGTTTACAAGACCAAGTTAAAGGCATACTAGGTCCATTGATTATGCAATGTTGATGAATGCTAGAGTAACTGGCACCGTGTGTAGTTAATATGTACATAACCTTACATCCAAACGCGTATTAGTTTGTCCAATATCACTGCTGGTTACTAAGAAATGTCTGATTGAAATCCGCAGTCCAGGAAATCAGTTGTTTACAGTTTCAAACCGCTGCCGGCGAAGCGGGTGTGATACGATTTATAGTGCACCGGACATTTTCGCACGCATGCTCGGCCGTATGCAATGCTATCATCAGTGATTTCGTAAACACGGACGCTCGTAATAAGGAAATTTCTGCCAGGGCTGTCCATGTGCGTCCGTGATTAGTACATGTGTTTTACTCCATTTTCAAGTTTAGTCCGTGTTCGTGATTACACCGCTGACACCTCCATTTCATCTGGCGTCCAAAACATACGGGCCGCACAAATGTTTACGTTATTGCTTGACTCCTGAATGACATTTATGTCACAACCGATTTCAAGTCTTGCTTGTAATGTAACCAGCAGTGATATTGGACAAACTAATACGCATTTGGTACTTATTAACTACACAAGGTGCCAGTTACTCTAGCATTCGTCAACATTGCATAATGAATGGGCATAGTATGCCTTTAAGACGTAGATTTATTGTATAATGCAAACAGTGGTTAATACGCTTTAGTTAGAAGTTTACATAGTACTACACCTACGTCTGTGTTGTTTAATACCAGTTCTCCATGCACCATGTTTGCAGCTATACCAGATCAGAGCCAGTTGCATTTATCTTGCATTCCCAATTTCGAGATGATAAATATCTGCAATTTAGCTGTTCTAAATTGTTAAATCTTATTGCTCGTATGTGTTTTAGGTTTATGAATTTTGGGTCAGGGCCCATTGCTAAGCGGTTTCCTCTACAAGATGTACTGCAGTATGCGCTCGAGTTTGCTCAGAATAAGAATCAATGCATTTCGACTAGTGATGCGGAAATGACCTCTCCAAGCAGAAGGTATAAGTGACTACTACCACTAGACATTTTAATATGTTGAAATGCCTTATAAACGTTTTATGGTTAGGTGGTTTCAGTAAGTAAGGCTTAATCTTGATGTGGAAATTTAGAGTTTTGATTAGAGAGATTTAAGTTTTGTTTAAAAAATGTTGGATTATAATAAAGGGCTGACGATGAAGGTTTGGTAATACAGAGTTGATGGATGATAAAGGTTTGATGATAGAGGGTCTTGACACATGGGTTGGAGGTTTGGGTTTTCATAACGTAGGTGGTCTTGATAAGAAAGAAAAGTTGGGATTTTATTGAAAATAAGGGCTTTTTATGTAAACTCTTGCTTTTAAGGCTTTAAGGAAGGTTATAGATTTTATACAGAAGATGGGAGCTTTTATAGTTAATGTTAATCTTTTTATGCAGAGCATTAAGGTTTTGTTAGAGAAGATTAGAGTTCCGATAAGGGGTGGATAAGGTTGCGATGGGGAACATTTCGGTCTCACTCAGACGTGTTTTGCTTGTTAGCTCACCCCTTGACATCGCAAGCCTGAGCTAATGTCCCATGGTCCCGTCATCTTACGTTCCGTCGCGTCCGTCCGTCAACCATTTGGGACTATGGTCAATCCGATAACGTCAGTGAACCGTTAATACCCCACATGTTTGATACATTGGGTATGACGTTTGTTACTGCTATCTCCCATGATAAACGTCCTATTTTGGAGCACGCCAGTAACACGACGTACCTCTTTTCGAGGGCCACGGCAATTTTTTGGCAAAGAACCCCATGGTAATTGCATTAGTCAGTTCAGGGTTCAACCATTTATGATCATTTTTAGGTATTGAATGAATAAGGGCCTAGGGGTTTGAATATTTAGAAATTTCTTATGCAGAATTAGGTACGCGTTTGGCATTGATATTAATGCATATTTATATAAACACCGCCAGCATAAACAAACAAGTCATTGTGGTGTCAACACTCGTCCTGGTTCGTTTTACAAAATTTCATTGACATATATCTCTTAATGCCAAAATTTCTCGCTATTGAACACTATTATGATTTATACTATTATTATTATAGATTAATTATTATTCATTATTAAAGATCTTTATGCTAAGAAATCATCACAGGCGGTGTAGTGTCGCCATCATACCCGGTGCACACTAATTGTATCATTTTTGGTTTAAAATATTTATAATTCTATATATAATATATCTTTACTATTTTCACAAAAATTACCCATATAATTTATCCGAAGAGAGGTATATTAAATGGGAGTTCTGCCCCCGCCCCATTACTATACTTCTGCGTGCTTATAAATGATACGTCCGGATGTTCGCTCATTATTAAAGAATGATCTTCCTCTCCACCTACTCATCTTTGTGTCCTTTTTCCTGGTGCAGCCTACAGTGTCATTCGCACACTTTCATTTTAATCTAATCAGCACGACAGAGCAGGTCCGCGCTCAGCGTCGGATGCTGGCTCCAGCTCAAAAGCAGGTGGAGATGACAGTCGGCTACCTCCTCGAAACTGCGTGAGCCTTGACTTGCCATGGAACGCCCGCCGTGAAGTGCTGTGGCGGTTTGAGGTCGGTCGGCGCCCTGGAAGCGACGTGACGACGGAGACGCCTGTGATGTGCTCTGGGAGGCTTCGGCCTGCGAGCGGTGCATGCCGATGGTCGAAGAACCGGACGTCAGAAGGTACATGGCAATCTGCACTTGATGCCCATGCGTCATAGACACCTTTGACCCTGTTCGCTTATGGGTCCTTGATGAAGAGACGGCTTTTTGCCATACTCACTGCTATGAGCGATACGTGCCTAGTAATTAAACTTGTCTGGTGATCGGTCAGATCATTTGGCGTGGGCCACGTAAAAACGCGTCACTTTTACAAACTTGTGAATGCTTGACGCGCAACCTAGGAAGAATATGTCAAGATGGCGCAGTTATCGCACTCAGACGGAAATACTGTATATGCCATATTGTGTCACCGTAATCACATATTTTTCGCGAAATTGACTGACAATTTCCGACGAAACCGTTGACGATTCAATTTCGCTGGTTGGGCTGAATTTATGAAATTATTCGATGTATTATTCGGTATGAAAATTATTACCGTGTTACTTTCGTGGACGGGTCGGGGACGCGTGTCCCGCCGAAAAAATTTGCGAAAATAACCACCTGCGAAATATACCAGCGTATACGGTAGGTAAATGTGTGGCTTGCAGACTGTGAAGCCCACACATGGTTGAATCGCTGTCTCTCATGCCCCCATGGACAAAACTTGTTCTGAGTAGTTATGTAATAATTTAACACCTG